CATTCTTCCAGCCTACTCCTTGGCTTTGAACTTTGTGTTAGTACTGGGCTTTCCACACTTTGGGTAGAGGTGTCTGGCTTGAGCTTCTATCCTCCTACATCCTTCTGTTACTTTCACATCTCTGACTGGAGGCCTACAAGCTTTCAGCACTCCCAGAGTATTGTGGTCCAGGAAAAGGTCTGTTCATTGCCCCTCTGGTCTGGGTTCTGCAAGTTCCTTACCAGGGTTTTTTGGTTTGTTGGCTTGTGGATGGTTGAGTTTCAGTGGATAGCAGCTGGATTCAGTCACTACTGTAAGGCTCTCCAGGTTTGGAGTGACTGAATTACTGGTTCCCTTTGGTCTGGGATTCTTGCCCTGATTATTCTACAGCAGGCCTATGTTCTAGGTTAAAGGCTAAAGTTTAGAACTGAGTTGCCACTCTACTCCTGACCTTAGAGCCACATGGCTACATTTCTGGCTCTTGTTACTTGCTCAATACACACCCAGGGTGGGCCCACACCACTCCTGGTGACCACTCATCCATGACCCAGACCTAACCAGTGGGTCCTGTAGCTTCCAGATGGCACCTTTTCCTCCCCCCAGCACTAGTTCAAAGATCCTCTGGGATACCCTTCTGATCAGGTGCTTATTTCCCTGATGTTCTGTCTCTGCCCTCTTTCTGTACCTGGGCACTGAATATTTCCTCCATGTTCCTGACCAGGTCCCCATTCCCCATATCCATATGCTGTCTACCTTAGCTTCCCTGGCTTGGAAAAATGACTCGCTGACTTTTTCTTGGCTTTCTCATTCAGTTTCCATCAGGTACATTTTCTGGATTTTTGTCGGGGAGGTGTGCTAGGCAAGCTAGGCAAGAAATGCTTTGTCTTGTTCCATCATTCTGTGACTCCACCTCACTGCAATTCAGTTCACCAAGGCACTAGGATTTATTTCCTGGTGAGCTACCTGAGACTCACAGGAGTGGAGCAGAAAGTCTGAACAGCAGCGAGTAGAAATCCAGTCAAAAAATCAGAAAAGTCCAATGAAAGATTGCGGTAGACCCACACACATGACCTGGAGTTGTAAATCACATCAATTTATCATTGTAATGATTTGAATTTGACAAAGCCACAACTGACAATCAACTGACTTTCAGTAGCCACTTGCAGATATCTCACTTTAATGCTTTCCTGTTGCATAAACTGAATGGTATCACGTATGATTTGAGGTCTGTAAGGGAGCTTAGAGGTCAATTTCATCACCCCTCCCCCTTTCATTGTTGAAGAAACATAACTGGAAAGGTTAAGCTACTTGGTAGAAGTAGAATTGAACTTAGAGTACACATTGAGTTTGCTTTTGCCTGCATCCTTCTGATTCTTGCAGTCAACCATAAAATCAAACCTTATTGGAATTAATCTCACTGTATGTTTGTCCAGAGATAAACTGTGGTTGTCTGACTCACAGATACAGACCCCAAAGGCTTTAGTCCTAGAAGGGCCTCCTTCTTCCCCTTTGGTTCAGTCTAAAACAGTGGAAATAAGAAAAATAAAACTCACATTGTAGCAAGATTTTATGCACCTTAAAAAGTATATGTGAAATTTCTCTAAACTACTAATGGCTTTCACTGTAGTTCTTATTTTAAAAAGTCCCTTTGGAGTCAGAAAGCCTTGGCTCAGTTTTTCCCTTCTGGCAATCACTGGGTCTGTTGTCTTTGAGGTTACTTAACCTCTCTGAGCCTGGGCTCCCTCATCTGTAAAGTAAGGATGAATACTTGTAGTTCCTGCCTCACAAAGTGGTGATTAGCTTAAATGAGATGACGTAAGAAAAGCACTTGGCAGACTTTAAAGTTCTGAACTTAAATGTCTGGTATTATTATTACTACTTATTTTTAAAATCCCCTCTTCTAATGCTTGGGTGTTCATGTTATAGTAGTATCTAAGGCAAAAGTTCCTAGACTTATTGCTATGCAGCATGTTACTTAGTTATGGTTACTAAGCCCCCATAGTTCATTATTACTGGCTTCTGTTTGCTGTGTGAAGCATAGTTAAACGATCAAGACAATGCAAGCAACATCAAATCAGCTTGTGAAACCATTATGAATAAATATCCATATGTTGCTAACATATGAGAAACTGTAGAAAAACTGTGTAATAACTTGGTAACATGTATATTATGTTTCTTCACAAGTACAATGAAGTAAAACCCTAATAATATAGACAGTATATTTTAGGAATTTATAATAATCTAGTTACATTAGAAATTTAAGAAAATGGCTCCATGGAAAACATTTTTCCTTTGAGTTATACAAACCACTTCCCTAAATTTAGGAAAAACTGAAATTTTCACAGTACTTTTAGTACCCTTTAATGAATATCATCTAGTAGGTATTGTTCTTTCATTTCAATTCATTCTTTAGAGTGACTCCAGTGTTAAATTGGCATGAGGATAGGGGTGAGAGAAGTGTGCTTGGGTCTAAGGATATAAAATCTGATAACATACTTAATGACTTTAAGGGAAGTTGTGAGGACTGTTTTCCCAGCATTCCAGTGACTGATTACTAATTGATCTAGTGAAGGAAGCTCTGCTCTTGCTGTGGAAAAAAAAGAGGCCTCTGTAAAAGTTAATGAAAAGAAGGTATAACTGTTAAGAAGTAAAGAGAAGTTGAATTTCAAAGGAAATTTTGTTCATGTGCACTCCCATGTAAGGGCTGTTTTTGAGAAGTAGTTGGAGAGCTAGAGTGGCAGGAGTGAGATGCCTTAAGGGACCTGTGTCAGAAGAGCTGTAGGATTAAGCAAGAAGACATCAAAAAAGGGGCTTCAAATGAATATGATTCTTAGGGAAGATCTGTTGTAGTAAAGTATAGTGTGGAGACCTTTCTCTAAGAATGGTGTCAGAAAGCCTCTGAACATATGGCAGAGGATCTTCCTAAAATGTTAGTAAGTGCACTTATGAGGAAACCCTCAGGATCAGGCATGTTCCCTAAAAAGGTATCCTCAGTTCTCATACAAGGACTTAGGCTAGTATGACATCAAATAAGGGGCAAATGTTATCTAACACAACAAAAAACAATAGAATGGGCTCATGTTTGTGTCTATAGACAATAAAGATTTTTATTTTTTCATTTTGGTGGACACCTCCCTTGCTTTAGTTCTCCTCAACTTACACAGTTTTCCCAACTTACCTTGGGGTGAGACATTGCTGGATGGAGATAGAATTCAGAGTTGCTCAGGAATTAAGCAGCCCTTGCCCATGGGTCCTTCCTACGGCAGAGACTAGTACTGCTGATTTAGTGCTGTCCTGAGTGTGATTAGGTGCGTGACACCTTTAAGTATTGAAGTATTTATATGCAAAAAAAAAAATAATATATAACCTCATCTCATAAACTTTAGTGCCTACTATGTTCAAGGTATTGGGTGTAAAAAGACAAAAACAAAGCAGCCTTTGCCCTTGTGGAACTTATATTCTTCTAGTAGGAACAACATATACAAGTAAGATAAGTCAATACAAAGAATGTACCAAATTAATATAAAGTAATTTCAAGAGGAAGAATCAGGAAGGTTGCAGGTAAGAGGTGGCAACTGACGTGTGTCTTGAAGGAAACTAGAGACAATAAGATATGGAGGTGAAGGAACCCATTTGTCCAAAAGTGTGGAAGCATGCTTGGACATGGAAGATAGTGATTCAAGTGTGAGAATGTGAGCGTGAAGGGGAATAATATGAAATAAGACTGGAAAGGTGGATGAGAGTCAGAATGTGGAGGCCTTTAAATGCCATGTAGGGGATTTTGTATTTTATTGTTCGGGAAGTAAGCGGAAGATGCTTTAGCAGTGTGGAATTCTGTTTTGACTGTGTTGAGTTTGAGATGTCTATGGGATAGCAAGTAGGTAATAGATAATTGACTAGAGTTTAGTTGAGAGATTGGTGCTGGATGTGTACATTTGAGATTCACCTGGATGGAGATCCAGTCCTAGGGAACCTGAAATCACCAGGGGAAGAGCATAGCAAGAACAAAGTAAAGGGACTAGGATGGAGCCTAGAACAGAGTAAGAGTAAGTGTACGCTCACACTTAACAGGGGGGAGAGGCCATGGTGTTATGCAAAAGAGACTGAGAAGGAGTATTCAGACAGATAGGAGAAAAACCAGAGAAGGAGAGTTTGCAGAAGGGGTTGATGGGCAATGTCAGAAGCTACAGAGATGTTAAGTAGAATGAGGACTGAGCAAAGACCATTGCATTTAGCAGGTGAGAAATATTGGTTGTGATAATAATAGCTAGCATTTATGTAATACTTTAAGGTTTCAAAGAATTGTGCATATTTTATCTAATTTGATATGAAGTAGTTGCTATTCCCATTTTACCCATGAGGACACAGAGAAGAGACATGGGGACTTTTCCAGTCACATAGCTAGTACATCTAAGGCAGGATTAGAACTCTTAACTTCCTGACTCTCAAGTCCAGCCTTTTCTCCACAACACAGTTGTTTATTGAAGGATTGAGAAGTAAATGGGTGGTGAGTAAATAGTAAGCTGCCTGCATCCTACGTAAGTTTAAGTTGAATAGTACCTCTCTGCCAGATGTAAGATCTCTTCATGCTCTGGTGCACAACTTCTCCCTGGTCTGTAGTGTTCCACATGGTGTGCTCCTGGCTAGACCTTGTCCCCAGTGTATGTAGACCCCTCTGTCTCCCTGTGCTGACCTGGATTGATCAAATGTGATTTTTCTTGGATTTCTGAATCAGCATTCCATATGGTGCATTTTCTAGATCTTTTGGCAAGAAATTCAAGGGAGGTAGGGGTGGTTTGCACTGTATTTCCATAATTTTGGCTCCACATCTCTATCCATCCGTTAATCTATATCTATACTTCTTTTGGAGGATTGTGTTGGGTGTTTTTATAAGACATGATTTGTACTCTTGCTTTTTTTTTTCTAGAATAGTGCATTTTAGTTGTGTTTGAATATGTTTATACTACAGTTGATTTGATGTTTATACTTGCTTGAAGTTTTTCCCCTTTAATTAATTGCAGACAACAGTGATGTTTATTTAGATGTCAGTGAATCTGATGAAAGTGAGTTGGAGGAAGATACCGAAGATGATAGTGAAACAGAAGATGATGAACAATCAGAAGATAGAAGTGCCGGGGATGATGAGGAAATCTCAGAATATGATGATGAAGATGATGATGAAAGTGATAGTGGCCCTGATCTTGCTAGAGGAAAAGGAAATATTGAAACTAGTTCAGAAGATGAAGAAGATGATATGACTGAATTTTTTCCTAAGGAACCTAGTTTTGAGCATGCATGGAGAGAATTAGATAAAGATGCCCCTCGGGCAGATGAGGTAAATCTTTTAATAGAACCAATCAAAATTTTGCTGGTAGAGAATGCCCTCTGTATTATGATCTTTGATTAGCTAACCATTTACTTGCTTTAGCTATCAGTTTCCATTTCTAAGCCCACCAAAATTTTACCTTAATTGGTAACCTAAGAAATTTTTGTTTGTTAAGGGTGAGGCTGTGAAATGAATCAAAGATCAGAAGAATTTTAAAAACTGGGTATAAACTGGTTTGTCCCCCTTAGAGTTGACTAAAATGGCTCATAATGATATTGCTATGTGCAAACTGAGAAATTTGATGAGTATTATTCTCTATATTTTAGCTGATTCTTAATTCATTTAAAGTTTAAAAATAATTTATATTAAAATAAGTGTAAAATTAATGTCCATGCAATAGTTTTATATAATGTAAAATATGACATTTTGTTTTCCTCTTCAACTATACAGATTACTCGTCGATTAGCAGTTTGCAACATGGACTGGGATAGATTAACAGCTAAAGACTTGCTGGCTCTGTTCAATTCATTTAAACCGAAAGGTGGTGTTATATTTTCTGTAAAGGTAAGGGCCTAATTTCACTTTGAAACTGATTCTTCCAGAATGTCAAGGTCATTTCTCTTTTTTTTTTTTTTATAGTCATCTTTTGTTAATAAAGGTAAACCACCAGTCAATCATAAGATTAGAAGTAGACCTATAAAAGCTTTTTTTTTTTTGAAGCCTTTGACTTGAACAAGGACTCCACTTAAATTGTCTGCCATAGATTGTCATCAGCTCCATTTTTTAAAGATAGATTGTTGGTCCTATCAACCCAGTGTTCTTCTTCCTCCCCTTCCCAGAGAGCCGTCTCTTAAAACAAAGAACTTAAAGAAGAGAAAACAAAAATCCAGCAAAGCTGAACATCCCATCAAAAAATTTGACATCTGTAGTGTTCCACACTGGTGAACTCTCCTTCCTCCTCCTCCTAAGGAGCAGGGAAGGTATCTTCTCACAACTCTTCTTGGGGGTCAAAAAATGTTTTCTGGTTTTTTAAAATGAATTTTTATTGATAACTTTAGTTTTTAATCAGCTAAAATTCCCCCTTACTATTTTCCCTTATCCCACCTAGAAAACCATTCTTAATTTAAAAAAGAAAAAGCAGAAGGGTTAGGCAAAACTAATCAAAAAGACAAAGTACTGACTTAAAAGAGGAAGGGGAGCTAAAAAACTCCTTATTATCTCTACTTTTAAAGTTTTCTGAAGGAGGCAGTTTCTCAGTCTTTCAATATAAAAAGTCCTAATACAGTGTGATTTCACTGACAGTTTCACTGATTAGATATGATTTAGATGGATCTTTGATCTCATTGGTATAACTACTCTATTCTATATCCTATATGAGTCTCTGTGTATTTTTTTCATAACTCTTCCATGGAGAATCCACTCATTTTTGCTCTAGTTTTCTTAACATCTCCATATTATCAGTACATTCACTTTTAGGTCTTTCAGGTTTTTTTTCTTTTTATTGCTGTTTGATCAGTCTACCTTGTATTTTAATACATGTTCTTGATTTTTATGACCATTATTTCTCCAGAAAATCCCAACAAAATAAAATGGATACCAGATTTTTACTCCGACCCCAAAAAAAAAACTTTGAAAAAGCATTCCCTGAAACCAGTTAAGCAAAACCATCTAATGAAATGTTTTCCATTGATAGCGTATGTAACTTCTTACTTTTGTAATTTATCTTATTTTTAAAAGAAAGGGAAGATAGGGCCTTTTATTTTGATAGTTTATTACTAATATTGACCACTGTATTTAGCCCAAGTTTTGTTGACTTCAATTAATAATTTGTATTATTTATACTAATAATAATTTGTAATCAAAGTGAATATTGTTTTTTGATTCTTTCTTCATTCTTCATTGTCTCATATGAATTCTCCCATGTTTTTCTGAATTTTCCTATTTGTAATTCTTTACAATGCAGTAATATGTCATTATATTTTTGTACCACAGTTCAGCCATTCTCAAATTTGGGGGCACATTTTTCATTTCTTTTTATTATCACACAAAATGTTACTGCAGCAATTTTTGTACACGCAGAGTTTTCTTGCTGTCAATAACCTCCATATCTATCTGTGCATCTATAGCTAGATACAATCCAACTAGTAGATTTCCAGGTTAAACGATATGAAGAAATTACTAAGTTTGCTTTTATAATTCTGAATTCTTTGCTAGAATGAATGGTCTAGTCATTCAACTAGTATTTCTGATATTTCTTAAGCACGTAGTTGGTGCAAGGTATTGAACTAGTCTGGGACGGGGAACCTGGGGCCTCAAGGCCACATGTGGCCTTCTAGATCCTTGGGTTAGGCCTTTTGACTGAATCCAAATTTCACAGAACAAATCCCCTTAATAAAAGGATTTGTTCTGTAAAACTTGGACTGTTTTACAGTCCAAAAAAAAAAAGACTAGAAAAACAAATTAAAAATCCTCAATTAAACGCCATATTAAGAATCCAGATAATCAAGAGAGAGGTTAACAAAATTCAAAGTAAAAAAACCACTTAACTAAAACTGGAAGCTAGTTTTATGGAAAAAAGAATATGTAAAATAAAATAAACCATAAAAGAAAAAGGAGAGAAGAAAATAAAATTATCAGTATTAAAAATGGGAAAAGGTGGATGTACAATCAATGAAGATAAAATTAAAATAATTGTTATGAGCTAATTGGCCCAACTATATGCCAGTAAAATGATAATCTAAATGAAGTAGATATTTACAAAAATGTAAATTGCCCAGATTAACAGAAGATGAAATAGAATGCTTAAATCTTAGAAAAAGAAATTGAACAAGCCATAAATAATATCCCTAAGGGGGGGGGGGGGGGACCAGGCTCACATGGACTTACAAGTGAATTCTAGTAAATATTTAAAGAAAAATTAATTCTAATATTGTATAAACTTTGGGGAAGAAAAATAAAGATGTCCTATCAATTATCTTTTTTCACACAAATGTGATTTTGATACCTAAGCCAAGGAGAGCCAAAACAGAGAAAAAACTATAGACCAAATTCCTTAATGAATATTAATGCAAAAATTTTAAATAAAATACTAGTAGGGAAATTATAGCAATTTATTATAAAGATCATACACTATGTCCAGACTGGATTTATACCAAGAATGAAGATCTGGTTTAATATAAGAAAACTGTAAGTATAATTGATCATTATCAATAAAGAAAAAAACAAAACTCCTATCAATATGTGCAGAAAAAGCTTCTGACAGAATATAACATGCATTCCTATTAAAAACACTAAAAAGCCAGGCAGATAGGTGGAGCAATGGATACATCTCCAGCCTTGGAGTCAGAAGGACCTGAGTTCAAATCCGGTCTCAGACATATGACAATTGATAGCTGTGTGACCCTGGGCAAGTCACTTAACCCTGATTGCCTCACCAAAAAGAAAAATAAACACACTAAAAAGCACAGGAGTCAATGGAGCTTTTCTTAAAATGATAAATAGCAAATGTCTAAAACTAAGAGCAAGCATTACCTATAATCGGGATAAAGTAGAAGCCTCCCTGATAAGATCAGGGGTGAAGTGAGGTTGTCAGTTATCACCACTATTATTCAATATTGTACTGGAAATGCTAATTGTACAGTAAGATAAGAAAAATAAATTGAAGGAATAAACATTTACAATGGGAAAATAATACTTGCTTGTTGTAGATGACATGATGGATAGAGTCAAAAGACTAATCAAAACAACCACTTCAGCAGAATTGAAGGATATAAAGTAAAAGCCACACAAATGTTCAGCATTTCTATATGTTATAAACAAAATACAGGAAGAGAGAGAAATTCCATTTAAAATAATTGCAGACAGTATAAAATATTTAGGAATCTACTTGCCAATATACATACAGTAACTATGTGAACACAATTACAAAACACTCTTAACACAAATGAAGACAGATCTAAATAACTGCAGAAATAGTCACTGGTTATAGATACGCCAAATCCCTATAGTAAAAATGACAATACTACCCAAATTAATTTAGTGCCATACTAAACTACCAAAGAATTATTTAATAGAACTAGAAAAAAATAATAACAAAATTCCTGTGGAGGAACAGAAGGTTAAGAATATCAAAAGAATCTGAAAAAAAAAGATGTGAAGGAAGGGGGCCTGGCAGTACCAGATCTCATACTATAGTACAGAGTGGTAATCATCAAAACAGTTTGGTACTGGATAAGAAATAGAGTGGTTGATCACTGGGAAAGATTAGGTACACAAAATGCAGAAGCAATTGAGTGCATCAGGCTAGTGTTTGATAAACCCAAAGATCACAACTATTGGGACAAGAATTCATTATTTACCAAAAACTATTGGGAAAATGGTAAAGTAATTTAGTAGATATAGGCCAACATCTCACATTATGTACCAAGATAAGCTCAAAATGGCCACATGATTTAGACATAAAAGGTGATATCATAAGCAAATTAGGGCAACATAGAAGAAATTACCTGTCAGATCTATAGATAAGGGAAGAGTGCATGACCAAACACAAGATAGAGAGGTACATAAAATTAGAAAGTTTTTGCACAAACAACCAATGCAGCCATAATTAAAAGAAAAGCAGGAGATGGGGTGGGTTGGATTGTTGCAGCAGGTTAGCAGGTTTCTTTGATAATGGTTTCATTTCACAGATACACACACACACACACACACACAGAGAAAACTAAGCCAAACTTATAAAAGTAGGAGCCATTCCTCAATTAAAAAATGGCAAAGATATAAATAGGCAGTTTTCAGAGAAAGAAATCCAAGCTATAAATATTCATATGAAAAAAAGCTCTAAATCATTATTGATTAAAGAAATATAAATTAAAACAACTTAGCAGTAGTACCTCATGCCTGTCAGATTGACTGAAATAACAGAAAAGGAAAATGACATGCAGAGGAGATGTGGGAAAATCAGTACATTGATGTAGTTGGTGGAGCTGTGAACTAGTCCATCCATTCTTGAGAACAATTTGAAAGTTTGCCATAGGGGTTCTGGTACAGCATTACCAGTCCTTGGTCCATACTCCAAAGAGATTAAAGAAAAAGGAAAATGACCCATATGTACAAAAATATTTATAGTAGCTCTTTTTTGTGGTGGCAGAGAGTTGGAAATGGAGGTGATGACTATCAATTTGGGGAATGGCTCAACAAGTCATGGTATATGAATGTGATAGAGTACTATTGTGCTATAAGAAATGGTCAAGGGGGTAGCTTCAGAACTCGGGAAGACTCATGTGAGCTGATACAAAGTGAAAAGAGTAGATCCAGGAGAGCAGTCCACATAGTTAATGGCAATATGCTGTGAAAGACTTAGTACCTCTGATCACTAAAATGATCCACCACAGCTCCAAAGGATTCATGATGTAAAATAACTTATCCCCTTCATTCAGGTGGAGAACTGATGAACTCAGAGTACAGTTTGAAGCATATTTTTTCCCTTTATTTTCCTTGCTTTTTTTTCTTTTTGGAACATGGCTAATGCAGAAATATGTTTTGCATGACTTTATATATATAATAGGTATAGTATTTCCTGCCTTCTCACTGGGTGAGGCGTGAAGAGAGGAAGGGAGAGGATTTAGAATTGAAAATAAAAAACAAAATAAATTTAAACCCTTAGTTTGGTTAACAATTTTGTGAAACTAAATGGAAATTTCAGCACATAGATTGCATTTGTGTACTAATCAGTTTTTTGAAAGTAATAGTTGACAAAATATATCTTGATTTCAGTAAGACATTTTACAGAAGCTAATGATATTCATGGAAATAGCATGGTTGAAACACAGAAAGTGCTAAGTTTGGAATCAGGCTCTGCCACTTAACTTACATTATGTGACCTTGGGCAAGTCACTTAACTTTTCTCAGCCTCAGTTTCTTCACCTGTAAAATGAAAATGTTGGACTAGATGATTGCTAAGATCCCTTCCAACTCTGAGTTTACAATGATATAGTCATTTATCATCAGCAAGATATCACAAATTTAGGTGTTTGCTTCCAGATTATTTGTTTCTGGACATCTTAGATTATTATACATTTTAATTCCTTTATAAGGATTAAATGTAAAGGGTTCCATACTAAGAAGAATTGTGCACTCACACATTCTGACGTGAACAGATAGCTTTTGTCTTTTAAGCAAATTATTTTATAATTTGTTCTCTGCTTTACTTTTAGATCTATCCTTCAGAATTTGGGAAGGAGAGAATGAAGGAAGAACTTGTTCAAGGACCTAAAGAATTACAAAGTATTCCTGAGGATGCTCCTGAAAAAGACTGGTACTAAACTGAAATTTTTTAAAAAATCAGTTAAAAAAATAAACTTAATAACCCAGATTCCATTATTTCAAATTTTCTAATCATTTTGATAGGTTCTAAGCTAAAGTTTATTTATCTGTGAAAAAGGGGGGAGGGGAGTTGGCCAAGTGAATTAGTCATGATAGACTAAATGAGAAAGGATAATACTTAAGTGACAGAATATCCTAGTGACAATTGATTAATCTAGTTCATGTTACTGTGGATAAAAGTCATAATGTGTCTCCTTCCACATAGTCTGTAATTAAATTCATCTATACTGGTCTTGAATGCAAAATGATTTTGATGTTTTTCAGAGAAATATTCTTAAAGCTCTACTTCCTGACATTAACTAAAGCCACTTTCCAGCTTCTGTGATTTTAGTAATAAAAGCATGAGCTCTGTACTGTCCAGTGATCTCGTACAGTGGTAATTTCTTTTGAACCACTAGGTGGAGCTATTAGTACCAGTTAGCCGTAGTAATGGCTCTGAAAGAAATCTCACAAGTATTTAGAGAACATTCATAACCATTAAAGAAAATTAAATTAAAGCCCATAACAGTCAGGAAAACATTTTATAACTGCCAAGGTGAATTTAGTACAAATATTTTGCCAAATCAGGAACCTTTTTAATTACACATAATCCTATCTAGACATATTTTGTTAATACTGTGATTTCATGTAGTGGTTTCATTTTAGAAAGCTATGTATGATGACAAAAATATTGTTCCCATAGTATAATTAAGTTTATAGATAATTGTGCACAGAGTTCTCAAATTGACTTTCTGGCTGCCAAATTTCATTCACAATATTGCTTGGAAAGTTTGTGTCTTCTCAGGAAAAAATAAGTTGGTTGCACTGAGGAATTTGGGCTAGTATGTAAAAGTCAGATTATGAAAAACATAGTTTGAAGAGAAGGCTAATTTGTATGTATTTTTCTTGGAGGATCTCTGTGTTTCAAAAACAAAGGTTTGTACTTACTTTATATAAATATACTTAATATGTTTTTTTTTTTCATAGGACTTCTAGAGAAAAGTTAAGAGATTATCAATTCAAGAGACTAAAATACTTTTATGCAGTTGTAGACTGTGATTCTCCAGAAACAGCCAGTAAAATTTATGAAGACTGTGATGGACTGGAATTTGAAAGTAGCTGTTCCTTTGTAGATCTGAGGTAACTCCAGTTATGCATCGTTATGGTTTCTTTTGCGCATCGCAATGCAACATGACTTTTTTGGACCAAGATGGAGACCTTCATATATATTAATTATGCTTTCATTGGTATCTCATATGCTCCAAAGCTGGATTTTTAATCATAGACTAAAATATATTATGAGGAAATATGACCCTTAAAAAAAGGAAACTGATAGTAGGAAATTTGATGATGATATATATATGAGTCACATATTCTACTGACTTTATGTATTTTACATATGCACATGTGTATGTGTATATAAAAATGTGTGTGTATACACATGTTCACACACATTTTATTGATACCTTTTGTCTCTGTAAGTCTTCTTTTCTTCCCTCTCATTGAATCTGCATTTGTGACAAAGAAAAATAATTAAGCAAAAACATCAAATTCAGTGCGAGTATTTGCTATTGTTGTATACAAATTTGTGGCAGTTGTCCTCCGCTTCTCCTCATGGAGGGGAGAGGGGATTGTTTCACTCTTTATTTTCCAGGACCTTCATTGGTTTTTCAGTTATTCAGGGTTCTAGTAGGTATATTTTAATTTATGTTCTTGGAGTCAGTGTTTGTATTGTTCTCTTGATTTTGTTTATGTCACTTTATCTTGTCATATTGCACAATAAGCGAAACTCCATTATGTTCATTCCATAGATTATCAGTCATGTTCCTTCATATTTTGTCACATTGTTGTTTTTGTTGTTGGGATGGTAACCCTCTCATTTACTTGGAGACCAGGTGTGCAGGTGTGGTAACAATTCCTTTTTTTCTGAAGGGGAAAAGCAAAGGGGAATGAAGGAGCAGTAGGGGCTGCTCTAGTGAGTGAATGCTGTATTGGCATTGTCTTTGGGCTCTAGCAGTATTTTCACAAATTGCTTAGGCTTCACTGACTCAGAACTGAAAAACTTCAGATCATTTTGTATCTCAAGTCTAAGGAAACAGGAAGCTGAACTACTGTACCATTTTATCTTTAGACTGTTCCTTTTGTTGCCTGGTAAACCAGTCTACTGTGACTGTCAATAGAAATCAGCTCCTTAACAGCCTAGTTTTGTTTGAGAGCTTTGTACTCAAAATGAAATATTTCAGAAAAGGGTGAGATGTATTGTTTCAAAGACACTGGGCTTTTTATGTTTCAATGGATTTCAAATTTAGAAAAAAACCCAATGGTTTTTCTTAACTTGAACTTTTAACATGTTTGAGTATTGACTGGAAAGGCATTCTCTTGTTGAACAAATAAGTGAATTTCCTTCCCTTTCTACTTAACAGTTACAAAAGTGGGGTTTTTTTAGGTGTTCAGTTAGTGGCTTTCAGACATTTGTTAAGGTTTCGTTTATTTTAAATATCATGAATTAATGATAACTAACTTGCTCTTTTCAGAATTGTTTTCTTTTACTTACTTATTAGAGAGTTTCATAAAGGATTTTAAACTGTTCCAGTGGAGAGGGCAGTGCCTAGAAAATGTAGTTAATAGGCATGAAGAAATTTCATTTTCTTTCATTTTGTTATATACTACATCAACAAAACAAACTTAATTTTTTCCTGCCCTACCTAAGAAAACCTTTTTTCGTCAGCCCCCAAATGTAAAACCATATCTTGTTAACCTTTGGGATCATTCATATTGGACATAGTAAATATATTTTACCAACTACAATCATTTATTCCTATTGAGCCCATACACAAGCTCATTTTGTAAGAAAATTGATTTTTCAAATTTAATACTAATAAACCATTCCGAAGAAAACATTTTGTGGTAGAGTATAAACCATATGCTGCCTTTTGAAAATATAGTATTACTATACCTGAAAATTGTTTAAGTCTTAAGTATAGTCAAAGCATGAGAATATAAGATTTTCAAAGTAATTGAAGTAGACAAATAAGTAAAAATGAAATTACTTCTAGTTGTTTTTGTACTTTAATCCTTAAGAAAGCATTATCGGTTTTTCTCTTAGTCTTCATGCATCAACTTCAAATATTATTTCTAAATTAATTTTTATGTATTCTGAATTTTTTTCGCAAACACCAAATAAAATGTGCATATTAATATACATAGTAAGATGGGAAAAAGGATATTATATGTGAAAATCTCTATGTACAGGTTACTTTTCTTTTTAAATGTATAAATGTATTCAACCTATAGCTTTCAAAACTATCCCGCTTGTCCGTGCTTCTTCCTGAACTTTATTCTGTTATCTTCTCTGCATTAAAAGAAAAGATGTTTCAGTGACCTCCTTTTTCTTTTTCTCCTTTTTTGAGAAAACGGAGATTATCCTATTTCCCCCTCAACTTTCCACCCCCTACCCTGTTGGGAAAAAAAGAAAAACAAAGCCATTGTAATAAATATGTGCAGTCAGGCAAACAAATTTCCCTATTGGCTGTGTCCAAAGATGTATGTTTCATTTTATATCTTGAGTTCATCACCCTTCTGTCAAGAGATGGGTAGCATGCTTTCATCATTAGTCCTCTGGAATTGTACAGATATTATTTTTCAGATAATACCTTGCTTATGTGTAGCACATTGTTTTGTTTTTCAAAATGCCGTCACATCTGTGAGTTCATCTGATCCTTGTGAGACAAGATGTTGAGATAGGAAAGGTGATTTTTTTAAATCCCTATTACATGAGCAATTAAAGCACAGAGAAGTTGTGGCTTTTCCAGGATTGTATTGTAGGTCAGTGGCAGAGCTACAAAGTGAATTTCTTTGAAACATGCAAGGCTCACTATTAATGAAACTATGCTTCTCGATTTTCTGGTCATTCACATACCAGGCACACACATACCCCAGAACATAGCAAATCAGTAAGATATTAAGTGTTTCACCAACTTGAGTTATTTGGGGACAGGGTTAAATGGAACCATATTTTTAAATGCACACATATTCAACAAGTTCTGCTCTAGGGCCTCATTATGCTGTAGAGAGGATCCCAGATTTTCAAAAGCTATGTCGATACATGGCAGAATCTACCTTGCTAGAAAGAACTCGAGAGTACAGTCCTAGACATGGACCCTGTCTGTTTTTAAGGACTGCCTAGTGCAGAAAGGATAGCTTGGCCACTTGATGAGTTTGTTAGCCACAGCAACCCATGAAACAAAATTTTAAAATGCCCCTCAGTCCTGTGTAGCCTCCTGAGGTCAGCATAGCTCTGTAGTAGGTGAGTGACAGAATGTGCCAGAATGGTAGAAAAGGAGGCAGAGGTGAGAATCACAAAGGTTATGAACCATTGATTAATGTAGCTGTTGGTATTTCAAAATATGAGACTATTGAGTAGAAATGTTCCTGGAGAAACTGAATTAGTATCAATTAACTTTAACGTAGCTGTTGGTATTTTAAAATCTGAGACCATTGAGTAGACATGTTCCTGGAGAAATTGAATTGGTATCAATCTTGACATTTTCACTATAAACAAAGCCAGAAGACTCAGGGAAGTTGGAGTAAAAACAAGAGATAGTTTACAGGATCTCCTTGGAAGGGCAAATAAAGGAGTCGGAAAGATTAGTTTTACTATGTGTACATAGATGACAAGAAACGTTATTTCATTTTGAACATCTTTTATTGCAGTGCTCAATAGTTTTGTTAAAAGATCATAGTGAACATCTGTTAAAACCTGGTAAGACCCTCCAAATTAAATAACTCAGTGGATTCACTATAAAGGTAGTAAGCATGGAGGAAGGCATCAAATTCTTGTCTTGAATAAATTTTTTATGGTCAGTAGGCATGAGGCTTCTGTGTAGGTTACAAGTTTTTGACCTAGCTTGTTCCTTATTCCTAAACTATATATTCCAACATACTTGCCTACATATAGTCAGCATAGACTAATACTAAAAAAGAGATTTGTAACCGAGCAGAAATGACTTACTCATGCTATGGAAGCCGTTCCTAATTCAGATATTTGTGTGTAAGCAGAACCAACTTGCTAGAGAAAAGTTCAAAATTAATACAAAGCCACAAGAAACAAAAATGGAAAAGGTGTGTATTTAAAACAACTCCAACCTGATAAATTTAAGCAACTTGTTGATCCCAAATAATGAGAAAAAATGGAAAAGGGGTCTCTAACACCCATTTAAAAATTTTCTTATTGAAGTTTAACTTGTGTAAGTTGTCATATTGAAGACATTTTTTAAAAAGGTAAAAAACATCTACTCTGAAGTCATACAGAAAGAGATGACAGCAAAGGGAAGAAATTATTTAGAATATAAAGTCATTTAAAAATTTGACAGAGGATGGTGGAAGATTATGAGCAGTATCATCATAAAACGGAGAAGCAGTAGAGAAAAAATCTTGTTTCAAAACTGCTAGGTGAGATATCCATCTGAGTAGAGTCATGCCATGGTAATTTAAGGATGAAACTGATGGGAGGAAAACCAACAAATGCGAGCTAAAAATGATTCACGAAAATGTTTATGACAAACTCTTTTCACCATCAAGGGTAGGGAGGGAGCATTTGAACTCAACATCACAATCCAGATCTTGCCTCAGACCATGCCTTAGAAGATTTAATCTTTTCATACCTGGAACTCCTACCATGAAGTCCTAATTAATGAATGTCTCAGATGGCCCATTCTTTCTGGCCAGCTCCAGCCTTGCTTTACTTTCCTACCCAACCATTTCACCAGCTATTGTACGCTCTATCTCACCCATCCCTTTGCAGTTCTGGAACCTTCATCAATTCTGTTCTGACATTGCTCCTTGGAAGGGTGTGTCATTCTACTTCCCTTATTTCGTCTTACCTTCCTTTTAACTTCTCAAATGAAGTGACCCCTTCTGGTCCCCACTTCCCTTCACTTTGTGTCTCTCTTTATTAGAATGAATCTCCTTGAGGGCAGGGACTATCATTACCTTTGTATTTGTACCCCTAGTTCTTAGCAAATTATTTGGCATATAGTAAGTGATTAATGAAATGCTATTTCATTGATCCATCCCTGCTTTTCCTTGCACATAATACTCAGTCTCCTAGCTCTACTTTTCACTGACAAGTCCCTCTTCCTGTAATGCACACCTTGCTTACCTCCACGTCTTATTTAAATACAAGTAGAAACTTCTACTTTTAAAACATAAATACAACTCCTCTAAGAAAAATAAATGTAAATTGGCCTCTCAGAGGATACCTGTACAAAATCTTTCTTGGTCCATCTAGCTCAGAGTTTCTTAACCTTGGGCCTCAGATCTTTTTTTTAAGTTAATATTTTGATACCCAGATTTCAGTGTAATTGATTTCCCTCATAAACTTATATATTTTATTTTATGCGTTTCAAACATTATTGTGAGAAGGTCCATAGCTACTGAAATCCATAGCTGAAAATGTTAAGAACTCATGTTACAATTGCTAATACCTAACTTTCCTCCCACTCCCCTATTTATGTTTTGTTCATTTTGTACACACTTACTTGTGCACATGATATCTCCTGCTATAGAGTGTAACCTCCTTGAGGGAAGGAACTACTTTATTTTTATTTTTGTATCTCCAATGCCTGGCATAAGTGCTTGTTGATTGACTGTACATGCCCACAGAGCTAGGGGAGATGGTATTGAAGAGAAACAGTAGCTGGCTTTAACCAAGTATACGTAGAGGAAGTCCATGTTGGAGGTGACACAGTTTTGAGGGCAGGGAGGGACAGAGTACAAACATAGTTCTAAAGACTTTGGTGAGGAGTGGTGAAAACTCAGTGAATTTCCTTGATGGCTGCTTTTTAAACTCTTGCCAGTAGCTCTTATTTATATTAATCTCAGCTGGGTCCTCACTACGTCAAGGTATTCCATTTATTCCTCCCAAATCAATTCACTGTTCTACTCTTCATAGTGCCTTTTCCAAATCTTTTCATCCCTTCCCAAACCTCCCATGGCTCTCACTCTCATCAGAGACCTGATCTTATTCTTATTCAGACCTCTGATTGTTAGTATCAAGTAGGACATAATTCAGAAAACAAGTAAATGGTCGCCAGACATGGTTGCCTCTGTCATAGACAAAATTTAGTTGAGAGGTCCAGTTAAAGAGGAGATTTCATATAGATGATTAGGTTGTTTAGATGCTTGTGTTAGCAGATGGCATTGAGCTTTGACAGAGACTTAAATGAATTCAGTATCAACATTTAAAAGAATCTTACCTGCCTATCCACATAGAAAAAGCTAAGTGGATGAAGAATGTCTGCTGTCAATAAATCAGTAAGTAAGCATCTATTAAGGGCCTGCTATGTATCAGACATTGGTAGATCTTGATACAAATGCAGTGAAGTAATTCTTGTTCACAAGAAGCTTACATTCTAATGAGGAAGAGAATAAATATGCACATAAGTATATAGAGAATAAAAATAAAGTTAATAAGTACAAGTTCAGACTATGCTATTCAATGAGATGGATAACCTGTAAGAGTTTTGTCCATATGGGTACCTCAGACACCGAAAATTGACAATGATGAGCCCCAGAATTGAACAGGATGCAGAAAGCAATGAGTGCCTTTCAGAAATTGCAGAGTTCTTTGGCTTCTTTGTGAAACAGAGGCCCATTTTATATCACCATTCTTTCAGTGATGTATGCTTGTGAGTCTTTGAACATCACATTCAAGAATTGAAGTTGAGGATCACCCCGAAGTCAGTGGGAAGTAGGTTGTTGGTGTGAAGAGTAGCACTATATTACAAAAAATTATGAAGGATATCATCAATCAGCATCTAATTATAGAGGAAATTGTACTGATCCCATAGGGAAAATTCAGAATAGTGGAACAGACAAGTACATATACTCCATTGGCATCTTGTGGATATTTTAAAAAACACTCAAGAAAAGCCCCCAGCATGTTAGGTGGAACTTCTTTGGCAAACTTAAGGGAAGGATATACATTAGTTACATGGGATGATAAGCATGATTAGTTACTGTCTGCATCATTAGAGGGAATACCTGCATCAATGAGATTACACATTTATTAGATATATCAAAGCAGGTGTCTTTGTGTAAAATAATAGGTTAACATTTATATAGCATTTACTATATGGCAGGCACTGTTAAGCATGTTACAATTATTATCTCCATTTTATAGATGAGGAAACTGAGACAAAGAGGTTCAATGAATTGCCCAGGGTCATGCAGCTAGGAAGTGTTGGAGGCTAGATTTGAACTCTGGTCTTCTTGACTCCAAGCACGATGCTGTCTCCATTGTGCCACTTATCTGTGGTATATATACATACACCCATTGGTTTGTTACTCTGTTTTGAAAGTGTTGATTGCTTTGAACTACCTATAGAATGAATGTCTAAACTGTAGCTAACTTAAAGAATCCAAAATTTTTGTTTATTGCTAAAATATTCTTTTAAATTTTTTTGTTCTTTTTTTCTTTTTACATTTAAGGTTTATTCCAGATGATATTACATTTGATGAGGAGCCAAAAGACATAGCTTTAGAAGTGGATATAACAACATATAAACCCAAATATTTTACATCTGCAGCAATGGGAACATCAACGGTACTTGAACCAAATGCTCTTTAAACTTTCCAGTAGTTAAAAAATTTTTTTACTTACAAAGATGTGTCAATCATAGTTTAAACACTTCAAGATAAGTTTTTTTTTCCCCCATGATACTTCCATAGCATTTTTGGAAATAGTGGGCTCAAAATACACTATTGTTATGCAGTCATCATCTGTACTTTTTCTAGGAGTCATATTAAGGTTTAAAAAGTAGAAGAGCTGGAAGTAGTATTTGGATATGGCTAAATCATATGGGAGAGGGAGGGATTTTCAAATTAATGTGTTTTTACTACTCTTAAATCTGGTTGTCTTCTCTTGATTTTGTTTTCCTCTTCTTTATTTCACATTTCCTTTGAACTATCATCCCCCTATATATCCCTTAGTCAAAAGTGTGTGGCAGAAAGAAGATTTTCAAAACTAAAGGGAAATATAAGAGTATAAAGTGAATGGAAGGGTTAGTAGCATATAGTTTGGGAAGCAACATTCTAAAATTGATTTTAATATGCCTCATATCACAGCTTAAAACATAAATCTATATGTCCAAATTAACACAGATTCTACATTGAGATATTTGTAAATGTTCTACAAAATTCAGGCTTATAATTTTGCCATATTTTCCTGATTTCCATCCATGTGGTATTTTTTTTTTTAAAGGTAGAGATCACTTGGGATGAGACTGATCATGAAAGAATTAAAACACTAAACAGAAATTTTAAAAAAGATGAACTTCTTGACATGGATTTTCAAGCCTATTTAGCATCCTCCAGTGATGATGAAGAAGAACCAGAAGAAGAGCAACAAGGTACGTGTTGATTTTTATTCTTCTAAAAACCTCTTTGTAGGGGCAGCTAGGTGGCACAGTGGGTAGAGAACTGGCCCTCAAATCAGGAGGACCTGTGTTTACATATGACCTTAGACACTTGACACTTACTATGTGACCCTGGGCAAGTCACTTAACCCCATTGCCTAGCCAAAATAAAACAAAAACCTCTTTGTATATTGGTTTGCAAATATAGGGGCTCTTGACAGTTTTAATTTTTCTCTGTGCGGAGATTTTCAAACTTTTTGGTCTCGGGACCCTTTACTCTTAAAAATTGAGGACCCAAAATAGAGCTTTTGTTTATGTGATTATATCTATCAATATTTATCTATTTAAAATTTAAATGCCTTCACATTATTGTGAAAAGAATTTTGACCTTGCCAAAAAGGGTCTTGGGAACCTCAGAGATCCTGTGATCACACTCTGAAAGCCACTGCTCTATTGCAAAGAATATAAGAATAGCCTGTTGGATATGTTATATCACCTTCCTAGATTGAAGGGGATAATAAACTGATTTCTTGGGAAGAACCTTTATTCTTCCTTTCTCTCCACTATCTCATTCTCTCTCCCAAAAGACCTTATCACATTTTTGGCAACCTAAAAATTTGTCACGTTTCATTCAAATCTGGTGCTTGCTGAGATTAGATAAGTTACCAAAAACCTGAAGAAACATGTCAGGGCTTATATGTTTATTTTTATATTTACTAGATGGATATATACATGTATAGTACTATTTGTACTGTTTAGTATTTGACATATATGTAGTATGTAAAAATGATATTCAAAGTCACCTTAATTTTTAAATTTAAGGCTCTACCTAGTTTTCTTCAAACTCTGTGGCCCTGTGTAGCTGAACATTCTCACATAAAAATCTTTTGAAGTTTTATTCTTCAGAAACCTTCTATAATAGAAGCCTTCGTATATTAGTTCTATCACTAGCTATAATACAGCTGTTGACAAAGGAAAGAGCCATGAGTTATTTATATCATGCTGTTAAACTAAACTTTGCTTCTTTTCCTTACAAATTTTCATTTCATGTAAGAAGCATAAGATTTATTTTCCTCAGTTTTTACTTTTGACATATGATCAGATATAAAGATGATAAAAAAAGTTTTGAAAAGTACTTGAAACTAGATGTCATTTAAAGAGTAACTTCTCAGTTATAACAAGTAGTTTATCCTTATTTTTCTTCATTAAACCCTTTATAAAACAAAGTTATAAGTACCTCAGTACCTTTTTAAAAATTTATTTTTTTTTCAATCATGGAACAAAACAAGAATTTCCATAATACAGGACAATAAAAAAAATGATTGCACTTGAAACTGCAAATCTACCACGTACAACTTGCTATTCTCTCCAAGTATACAACAAAGTTATCATTTAAATTTCTTTTTTTTCTTCCTTCCCCCAACCTGCCCTAGAGATGGCTACCATTAGACACAAATAGGGGTATGTGTGTGTGTGTGTGTGTGTGTGTGTGTGTGTGTGTGTGTATGTAAAATTATTCCCTACATACTTCTATTTATCACTTCTTTCTTAGGATGCAGATAGCATCTTTATTCATATAGTCAAAATGACTTAGTCCCTCAAAGTTGTTCTTAAAACCATATTGCTGTTACAGGGTACAATGTTTTCTTGGTTCTGCTCACTTCGCTCATCATCATTTCGTATAAGTCTTTCCATGGCTTTCTAAGATCAATGGGGTCATCATTTCTTCTAGCACAACAGTAATTCATCACAACCATACACCACAACTTTTCCTTCTATATTTGATAGGTCCTGGTCAACAGTTTTGATTGCTTCACTCTTAATTTCAGTCTATATTTTCCTATCTAAGCTACTAATTTCCTTGGAATATCTTCTAATCTAATTTTCTATTTATTATTGCATATATCTGACAGCAAAAATAGTAAGATCCAAGATGTTATATAACAATGTACTGGAATAACAGTTTGTAGCAATAGAATGCTTAGAACGTGAAAGAAAGGTGGCAGCAACATAAATAAATGACAGCAGGTGACAGTATTAAAGATAGGTAAAAACACTGTTGATAAATGTCTTTCTGAATTATTCTTAAGTTGGATAGTTAAATTTAACCCTAAAATACTCTTGTAATCAAATAACTGTAACTGACATTCTCTAATAATGTGATTGGCTTTTCATTTTTGCTTTTAGAGCAGGGAAAGTTTTTAGTATTTCTTATCCTCATAGAATAACGGGTTTTTCATGAATTTATGCAAGTTTTTTATAGGAATTCAACATCTTTTATTTATATTTAATTAGTTCATTAAAATTGTTCAATTATTTAGTATTTGCTAGGGAACTTGTTAACATTGGAAGTTTAATACTGGAACTTTTCACAGTTTTTAGAGATCTCAAATAGTTTCTTGATTTTCAGTTCTTGGCACCATCCATAATTAAGTATTGTGACTCAGCATACATATAACAGCCTAGGTATTTATTCAAATAAACTTGGACCCTTTTTTCTCACAGGTGTATAAGAGAATATGTTAAACAACTATCCTGAGTCTACTTTTTATGTTTCACGTTATGCTGCTGTATTATCAATTAATGAGAACTCCAAATGGATCCTAGGATTTAAAAGAGAGTGGGGGAGAGAGAGAGAGAGAGAGAGAGAGAGAGACGCCTTAGCAATCATATACTTCCATCCCCTCCTATTACCGTTGAGTAAACTCAGAAGTTCACCACTGAAGTAAGCTGCCCAAATTTATTCAAGTAGTGAATAGGGGCAGAGCTCCACTTCCAGTTCAGGTCTGTTGACTCTAAAACCAGTACACTTCTCATTATATCACAGACAAGGACACAGCGTTGTATGATGGAAAGAGATAAGAGGATCTGGGGTCAGATCTCAGCTTGGTTGTATAACAGTGGGCAGGTTACTTAACCCTTGTGTGCTATGGGTTCTTCTTCTGTAAAATGAGAGGATTGAACACAGCAGCTTCCAAGGTGCCTCCCAACTCTAAACTCTTTCCAAGACTTGTAGTCTAAGATAGGTGGTGACATTCTAGGTTATATTGTTTTTCACATATATTGGTACAAGAGATTTGGTGCATCTGTTGCTAGCAATGCAACAAGAAGCAAATAACTAGGAAAATTTTAACATTAGTATCTTTTTTTTTAATTGATCATTCATTTGACTAAATTTTTAGCATCTCTGCTTAGCAAAATTTTTAAAAACTTAGGTAACGATATGTGATTCCATTCATTTAATAACATATCCACTTGTTGATCATTGGACAAATATTGTCCAAACTGACAACAATGTAATATATGTATAGTGTTCAGTACTTTCTGCTCCCTCTATTTTCATTCCATCACCATTATTGCAGAAGCAAAAGACTATGACATCGGATTTATGAGCTTTTTTGTCTTTTTGTTTAATTGGGCTGTTGTGGGCCGAAAAAGTCATTATTTCATGGTCATGCTTCTGGAGATTAGCTAGACCAATACTGAGTTATGCCAGTCCTTGGACAGCAATTATAAACTGTTACCTAGTACATACTCAAAACCTTTTCACTTGAGCAGAACCTATCAGAACTTATCCATCACTGATATTCTTTTTAAGATTCAAGGATACCACTGTTATCAAGTTGTCAGGGTAAGATTTTAAGTGAACCAATTAGTTTATCTGGCATAACCAAATCACAGCTTTATTGATATTCTTTGTATAAAGAAAACCAGAAGACATGAAAATGTTTCAATTAAAATAGAAGGATAAGTTGCAGGTTGCCATGAGAGAGGTGAATAGAAGTGTTGGAAGAGGTTTCATGATAAGCCTATAGGAAACAATATTTTGTAGAATATTTTGGCATCTTGGTTATAAATACACAAACTGTTATGAAGACAAACATAGCACCAATATCTCTTGCAGAGGATAAGGAAGTACAGATATTCCTCAGAGAACTTGGCAAGATATTCAGGAATGTCAGCATAACTTGATACTTAGTAACTTCACTTGGAAAGTAGGCACAGGGAAGGATGGCAAAAAACTATGTTGGAAAATTTGTTCAGGATTGAGAAATGAAAAAAGGCCAAAAGGCTTATCAACTACTCAGAAATTTCATTTCTTTGGAAAGAGTCAGGAAACTCTGACTCTGGTGAAGCACCATTCTCTCTCTCTCTCTCTCACTCTCTCACTCTTTCTCTATTACACACTGGAAAAGAAAAACAAACCTATATTAACTATGTCTTAATTAACAGAAAATGACTTCTTACCACCTAACTTAGGAGTCATTTCAGAAATTGCATTCTTTGTTTAGTGGGTCAGATCTTTGGTTATCGGGCAAAAGTCAAAATCGGTACCAAAATAGAAGGCGAAGTAGCATATTAATACCAAATTAGAAGACAAAAGTGTGATTATTATTCTCTAAGCATTGCAGCGACACTAATTCCATTATATGTAAGCAAGTTGTTAACTCTGAAAAATGAGAAAAGAATAAAAGAAAAGACAGTGAGTCCATCTCTAATTCTTGGAAAATTTTAACTGTCCACAGGAGCCCCAGTGAGGCTGAAAGGGCCTGGAAATCAAACTATCTCAGCTAGCAAATATTCAAAATCTTTGCCAGGAAGAGAGACATGCAAGCCAAAGGCAACACTAGTTTAGAATACAACCCCATTTAAAAGCCATCATGAAGTTGAAAGACAATTACAAGCCGTATTGCCTCACAAAATAGTGAAAAGTAGTTGAGGGAAAAAGCCTGCAGAGAACTTGACATGCACTCTAATTGGACTAAATCATACAGAGAGTGATTTATAGTTGAAACTGGAAGGAGAGCAATAAATAAATCTGAATTGGAACAGCTCTACTAAACGTTTCTGTGGCAAGATGTCTCATCAGCTCTAAGAGGGGAATCGTTGAATTTTGACTACTGTCACCTTAAGTGTACCCATTATACATTTTGAGGCAGTGGTATGGTTTTTTTTTTTATTTCCTTAAACTGATTTCATCAGTGTAAGGGGAG